CCGACTTTTATCCTGAGATTTTTTCAGTATTTTTTATTTTCGATCATTGCCCCAAGGAGTAATTAATGAAGGTTTAAACATTTTTACATAATAGAGTTAAATAACAAAAAAGGTTTTAGATATTATCTGATGCTTCGCAGTTTCAAATACAACCAGACAATAATTTTTATTGAGGTCCGTAAAAAATAATAATTTAGTCTAGTTTCTTGAGAAATTAGGGTACTAATTCAAAAATCTCTCTCTTTCTCTCGGCAAAGGTAGGTAGTCTATTACTCCACTGCTGGATATATGCGTATTGGTATTTTCTCAATTTTGCTTGGCCTGCGCCGATTCTAGACCAGGTTGGCCTTACCATTTTTTTATCGCCCTGCAATATGGTCGGTTGTCTGCCTACACTTTGTCATCGTGTTCGGCGCCTCCAATGTAAGAACTTTTAGTTGTAATCTCTATCTGTCTGTTGTAATCTATATGGGACACGTGTCCAGCCCATTGCCATTTAGATCTCGCTTTCCTTAAAACTTATTTTCCATATATCAGTTTGATGAGTAAGTGAACAATGTTGTTTCGAATCCTGTCCCGTAAAGTCAGTCAGAGTCCATGTTTCGCCTCTTTAAGTCATGACCGGAAGAACGCATTGATTACAGAACCTTGTCTTAACGTTTTCAGGAATTTTGTGTTAAATTTACAAAAGCTGACCCTCGGGGATGCACTCGTGGGTTCATTTGAATAAACATCGACGCTCTGCTCAATTTAATTTTGCCTTTCAGGTAAATATGCTACTTGAGGTACTCGATGGCGTAATGGTAAACACATTTTGTCTACAATAAGGTGGTTAAGTAACTTTAGCAATGGCCTGTCATAGGATGGGCGACGATTATGCAGTTTTTCGATTTTAAATAAAAAATACCACTTTTGGTAATTAAAAAAAGGGATTCTAATAAAAAGTTATTATCAGTGCACAAAGATTTTTCTAAAGTGGAATGGGATATTTCCTAACCACTGTGCCATCGAACTCCTCTGAGCGTAACGTCATAGTTGACATTAATTTAAAACTTACTTAAAGGACTTGAACTCAACGCATAAATATAACAGTGTCAGGGTTGTCAACGATTTATAATCTAATATTCTAGTAGGTATAGTAAAAGTTCGCAGGTGATTAAATGCGCCGTTCACCTTGGAAATATAGGGTATAATGAGGTAAGAGTGCCGCATGTTGTTAATGAACCACAATTTACTATTTGCCTTTAAAGATAGCCGAAAATAAAAGTATGACAAACCAAAATATCTCCTGTGTGAATGTTTACCAATGAGTAACAAACGAATAAATCGATCAAATCGAAAACGAATTTTTCTTTATATTTATTTTAATTAATAAAAAAGTTTGTTATGCGTATTTGGATTTTTTAAATTTATTCCTATATTTTATCAATTTTACATTCACAATACTATACTGAAAAATATTATTAATAAAAAATGTTGGGTGGATTGCCGGAATATTGATGAAAATACGCTCTGTAGGAGCAAAAAGTAATAAGTGCTTGAAAAATTCGTCGAGCAGTCGCCCGGATTGCGAAAGATCGTGGGTTCGAGTCCCATCTCAGAGTTCCAGGGACAGAGTGGATTATACAAGCATTTATCATTAAGAATATTTTTCAGTATAACATTGTGAATGCAAAATTAATCAAATAAGTATAATAATTGGAACAAATTTTCATCTTCATCGAAAGTTTCAATATTTGTTAAAATATTTCTGTCGGCTGTTTGGGTGGATTGCCAAAACACTAATAAAAATACACTCTGTAGTAGCAAAAAGTAACAAATGCTTAAAAAAATCGACAGTCCCGTTAGGTCCCGGGAGGCTCAGTGATTAGAACAGTCACCTGGATTGCGAAAGATTATGGGTTCGAGTCCCATGTCAGAATGCCAAGGACAGAGTTGATTTTTTAAGCGTTTTTCATTAAGAATATTTTCTTACTTTTTAACATATTTCGACTTACAGGCGCGTTGGCTTGACCGGTGAATGTCTTACGACATCCCTGCAAAAGAACTCAGCAAGATTTATTATAATCATGTACAATCAAATATTGTAAATTTATGAGTGCTCGAAAACGCAGCAACAGCGTACTTTACCTTGTTTGCCACCGTTAGATTAAAAAGAAACTATATGTACTCGATGACGTAATCAATTTACTAGCCTTATACTTGTTAACAGAGCCTCTCCTCTCGTAAGTTTATTGCAATATCGGCTATAATGTTAATCCGGGAAGGCATAAAGTTGGGTTGGGCCCTTTTATTAGCCAATCAATTTAGCTGTTAGTGGTCTACTAACTTACACGTAGTATCGCATAGCGTGAAAACATAACAATAACAATATATAGTTATGCACTGTGATGTCAATAAACATTCTCTTCTTTTTACTTGCTTTCATTTAACATTCAATATCTGTAATGTAGATTAGTTTTTACCTTATGTTTTTTTTTATTAATATAAGTCTATATTATTCAAAACTCTTCAATTATTCCGTCTGTACCGTCTATTACAAATAGAACCCCTCAGGGCCAGATTAGCTACGTAGCAAAAGTAGCAAATTCTAAGATTCTCGCGAAAAAAAAAAGAAAGCACTAAAGAAGCGCGTCACTAGATGGCGACTCTAGCAAAAGTTGATTTTTGCAAGAAACAAATAGAAGGAAGTCAATTTCGTTCCTTTTAACTAACATATTAAAAAACTGATATTTGGAAAATTCGAACTTTAGATATCAATACGAATACGAAAAATTACAAATAGAATAAGAGTTTTATACAGGAAAGAAAACCGGAAGGGTTGTCATGGAGAAATCAAGAAAGTACCGTAGCGACATCTAGTTTGATTACGGGAACTATTTTTTTTTAAATACTTCCTCATTGGAGCCTCGCTATGGTTCAGAGACAATAAATTAATTTTTCAAGTCGGTCTTAAAAATGCATGAAATAAAATAAGCCACGCTTCTGACACTTATATTTTTAAATATACATATAAAATATCAAAGAAAACTAACTCGAGTCACAGATTAATCGTGTTGTGTAATTCCGAAAACGAGGGCGAATTTTCTGTTTGGGGGGTATTTAAAATGGTTTACTTGACACCCTTACAGGTCGACTGGCAAAGAATTCCGTACGGCATTAATGTTTTGCAATAAAGATCAAATAATTAATAAATAAATAAATAACATGTGATATGTAGGATCACTAAATCTTGAAACTAGCAGTTATCTGTCTGAGTTCACGCGACCTTAGTGGAGCACGCGTTCAAAACCATAGCTGTAGAAATACAAAATGTCTAGTAAAAAGTGTGATAGTGGCAATATCAAGACGTCATCGCATCGAAGACATCGCAGTATCAAAATTCTGTTGTATGATTGTATAAAATCAGGAAAGAGAAAGCCTTAATGAAAAAGAGATGGTAAAAAACAGAAGGACCTATAACATCCTGGTTGATTGTGTGGTGTGGTGTCAATTAATCATCTACTCCTGTTGATAAACAGCATTATAGAATAATGTCACAAAGCTTGAAGAAGATTCTCTGTCCACAAATTGGAACGGGCGGAGACGTGTCTTTGACTAAAGCAAAACTTACTGAGCCCGTACAAGCCCCATCTACAGTCCCTAGAGACTTCCCAAATTCTAAGACTCTCAGTCCTTCACAAAAACATTTCTCAAGTAGCCAGTGTACAAGGAAATTAAATATGTAGAAAGAAACTATAGTCCAGAGGAAAGTATACAGAAATAGACTCGAAACGGCAAAGGGTGAAGCCACACCCAAGCCAGATTTAAATTCAGAGTGGTGGATTCAAATTTAGTTCATTGGCGCACAACACCATCTAGAAACGCGCCGCTACGCTCCGTGATAATAAGTTTAAACTGTATATTAGTAAAAAGATCTGCTATGTGTATAAACTGTATGTATAACACAGCGGATATTATATCTATATCACGATATATAGTACAAGCTTTTTGACATTGCAAAGGACGCCCGTATAAAGAAGAAAAATAGTACAGTCAACAGTCCGTCAGACAGGCTTCACAAAACTATATTTGTCCACTTGATTTTATACCTTAATGATTTTAAACTTTAAATTTTTAAGTAGAGTTCAGAATCCGTGCCTATAATAACATATCAACAATTCACGCTTAGAACTATCCGCATACCAAATTTCATCAAACTCCTTTCAGAAGATTTTGCGAAAAGAGTTACAAACTTGATTGCTTGAATTACACTGGATTATACAAAACTTAATTTCAGATATTTGCGTTAAGAGTTATAAACTCAACCTCATAAACTTTCCAAACCTCTCCTTTTGTTTCTATATACATATATCAGGAGAATCACAATTTCAGTCACAATTATTTTGTTTATTTATTATCTTCAAATTACTCATTTGTTTGTAATTGCCGTTACTTTAAGTGTTAAGTTAGTATGCACATCAATAATTACAAATATCTCGAATTCTATTGAAGTGAGTGAAATGGAAGTTCGTGGTATAGAAGTCACTAATTAGTCACAAATTTTTGACATGTGATTGAAACTAATACGAATCGTATTTCTCATGTGCCTGCTGCCTCTAGTCTAGTTATCAGACACACTAAGATCTTAGTTTTTCTTATTATATTTTTACATATATACAGTTAAGTTACAAAGTATATTTTCAATAACATATAAGCTTAGTCTGTTTTAAGTGATAGATTTTTCATTAAAATCATAGGACGCCTACTCGTAAAAACGTACGCTCGAAAATTTACCCTATTATCGTAAACACAAAAAAGCTGTTTTCATTAAATATTTTTGTTTTCATTAATTTTAAAAATTGGACCAATTGGTGAACATCGCCAATAATTATATTAATAATCCCTTAGTATCCAATGGTATCCCATATATAAATGTATCATTTTATTATTACATTTTTAGCATTTCACTGACTAGACTAAATTGGCCAGCGCTATTGTTATAAAGGACACCTTAAATACTAAGAATTATTATAGAACGATGTATTATGAGTGAACCTTGTTATCATGTCTAAACTCCATTCAGGCTGGTCCATTGGCACCATATGTCCCGCATTCCTTACCATAACTTCAATCAGATTCCCTGCTTGCTTCACATACCCAGCCAACGTACCGTTCACGTACCATTGATGTCGCTCTGCTGTCTTGTATTCCTTGGAAGCAGTAAAATTTAAGTTCCTAAGGAAATTAACAGTCAATGGATAGGCAACAACAGTATCCAGCTGGCCGTTGTAAGTTAAAACTCTATAATGATCTAAGAGCTCAGAAATCCAAGGTGCTACAGATTTTGGCATATCTTCAAATAAATGTTGATAGACGTCTTTCGATAAACTATTGAAAGGCACCTTTCCGACATGGATCGCTTTACGTACAATGGCAACTCGTAGATATGGCCAATCAGAATCGTAGTATGGCTTGGTATGCAAATAATTATAAACCATATTTAATCCTGAAAAATTTGCATACGAAGCTACCAAATCCCCGAACATTTCACTGGCTTCTTTCCATTGCTTTTTCTGAATGTGTTTTATAGTTTTGTTCTCATATTTTGCAACAGTTTCGGCCTGATTCCAGTCAAGTAGACCTATTTGGTACAAATATTTGCTATAAACGAGTTGGTGCTCTGGATCACTGAAGCCATTGCCGATAGCTATCCCCTTTAAATTGACTTTTATCTCAGCTGTGGGATTCATTTTATGTATTTTGTAAGCCAAAGCGGGAACATATTTACCCCCATACGATTCCCCAGTAATAAAGAATTCGTTCTTCTGCAGTTCTGAGAAAAGTTTCAAGAATTGTGTCACGAATGAATAGAGTTCTTCTCCGACTTGCGTTTGGTTAGTGCAGTAGCCGTTATTTGTGAAACTGAATCCAGTCCCGACGGGGTTATCTATGTAGAGGACATGATGATTTGCCGCCCAAGTGCACTGCCTCCTATCGAAATAAGCACCAATTTCTTCCATTCGAATAGGTCCATTTTCCTCGAAGAGCCCGAAGAGTGATGATGCACCGGGACCTCCTTGCAGCCACACCAGTAAAGGTGCAGTTTTATTACCATCGATAGCCGGAAAATACCAGAAGAACTGATTAGAATCGTAAGCCTTGTTGACAGTGAAAAATCCAGAATAACTCGTTATGTTGAGGTATTCCGTGAAATGAACTCGTGATAGCTCGCGGCCTGCCGTGATGTTTCCATTTTCTACATATGGAGTTAAGATGAGGGGTTCGCCGACATGACCTTCGATTCGTTGACTGGGTTTTCTTTCTGGACTTCGCAGCAGAAAACTTTTCGAAAAAACGAACAGATGAAGAATCAACAATAACCCGCGTAAGTTGATCATTGTATCATTAAAACCTTTGTGGTGTTGTATTGTAGTAATATAACGTAATTAGTATTACTAATTCTATAGGAAACTACAAGCTTTACAAACTCAATAGAGAATAAAATTTAATTAACTTAATGTACTAATTTTTCAGTTCGTTTATAGAGACACATAAACTTTTGTGTAAGTTAAATTATTTTTCTTTATTTATATAATTATGGCAAACAATAAAAATGTTATATTATTTAGAAATGTAAGTTAATGACAAGTTACAGTCAATAGTATTCATAAGACTATATAAACAAATCAAATATGGATGGAATCGAATAGAGAGAATGCCCGCGCAGGCAGTGGGTGTTAACGAATCCAGATGCTTAAATACTAATGGCTTAACGTGCCTTCCGAAGGACGGAGGAACTCGAGGTACTCATCTTAACTCCATATGTAGAGAGTGAGAACATCACGGCTGGCCGCGAGCTATCACGAGTTCTTTTCACGGAATACCTCAACTTAACGAGTTATTCTGGTCTTTCCAGCTATCAATGGTAATAAAACTGCACCTTTACTAGTGTGGCTGCAAGGAGGACCCGGTGTAACAACACTCTTCAGGCTCTTAAAAGAAAATAGACCACTTTGAATGGCAGAAATTGGTGTTTATTTCGATAAGAGGCGATGCACTTGGGCATCAAATCATTATATTCTCTACATAGATAACCCCGCCGGGACTGGTTTCAGTTTCAGTTTCACAAAAGGCAGCTACTGCACTAACCAAAAGAAAGTCGGAGAAGAACTCTATTCTTTCGTGACACAATTCTTGAAACTTTTCCTATAATTACAGAAGAACGAATTCGCTTTAACTGGAGACTCGTTTGGTGGTAAATATGCTCCCGCTTTGGCTTACTAAATACATAAAATGAATCCCACAGCTGAGATAAAAGTCAATTTAAAGGTGATAGCTATCGGCAATGGCCTCAGTGATCCAGAGCACCAACTGGTTTATAGCAAACATTTGTACCAAATAGAGACTTATTTGGTACAGTTTTGGTCAAGTAGACACTTGATTCAGTCAAGTGGACACTTGACTGAATCAGGCCTAAACTGTTGCAAAATATGAGAACAAAACTTTAAAAAACATTCAGAATAAGCAATGGAAAGAAGCTAGTGAAATGATTAAATGTTAACTCATGAGACATAGGTTGCCCATTTTTCTAAACTGCCTAATTTTGATTTTGCCATTTACACTGATCAATGGGGTCAGAAACCGGAGTGTGAGCGACCTTTGCGCACCTATCTCATTGGTCAATAAAATAATGACAACCCAAGAGAGCAAAAGAAGTAGCATGCACGACGCACGCAGATGTCTTCGCCCAATGTAAGAAGCTAGTGAAATATTCTATAACTGATTACAAAAATTAATAATTCATGTATCATTTACACATTACATGTACACATTACAAAATTACAGTTAGTAAAGGGTCAAAATTTTAAATGGAAACTGCCACTTCAAGGGATGTGTCATATGAAAAGACTCGATGTATATATTTTATTTATTTTTATATTTAATTCACAATTATATAGTGGAAAGATTACTAACAGTAACATGCCCTTGTCATATATTTGCGGTAACAATTAAATATAATGTAAAACATTTTTCTAATATTTGTGTAATCGACTATGTTCTGAATGAGTTTGGTAAACACATTGAAAATATTTATTGGCATTCTAACACACATAGCTACACATTTATGTTTACTTCGCTTTCAGACTTAAAACGTTGGTAAGTATAAGTAGTACTAAAATAACGGTTAAGGCCAATATTAAATTTTAAAAAAGCTGTCCGATTTAGTTCAAATTTGGCATTAATATTCTTTAACAGAATAGATAAGAATATATAATTTTTCAAAAGTCGTAAATTGGGCAGCAGCTCGACGAAAACTAGATTTTTTTTGGACAAAAACCGGTGTAATCGGCAATTTCACGTTAGAATTAAAATATAAAAAATCTGACTATTAAAAACTATACAATTATTAAAAATAGATTATATATCGACTGATCACAATTTTTTGGGGAGACAAATTACTTCGCGAATCACTCATATTTTTATGCACAAATTTGTCAACTCCATTAATTGGAGAAACTCCGATACAATTCCGAAAAAAATAATCATAATAACCACAATAAAAATAATTGACACTTTATTGCTCACAGATAATTATTAATATTAAGATTACAATATAGGTACTAATGCTAGGGTGGGCAAAAGCTTATCGCTGAAAGAGGTCTCTTTCAGACAACCTTTGTTTCATGTAACATATGGAGAGAAAGACCGGAGGTAGTGTGCTAATAATTTAGTTCAATTCCTGCCGCTGCTTTGTATTCTGTAAAAAAAAAACAGCATCGCAAAGTCGAGCACAACACTGTCACTATTTAAAGATTCAACTCTTCTGTGAGTTATACATTAACCTACGTTAAATATTAAAAAAAAAAAAACAAAATATTTGGCACACACATGAAGTGAAACAACCCTAAGTACTATACCTTTCAGGACTGTATTTCACACTAGAGCGGCGCTCTGAAAGAGGTCCCAAACACTCACAACGGAATCGTAAGACACATTCAATTAGATGCTCAATACACAACTAAATCCGTGACTAAAGCGAACGATTCGCTAAAAGCGAAACAATTTATCGAATGGATTCCTATACGACAGAGTAAAACCTTATAGTTACAATGATCTACATACTACTCGTACGAATTAACAAGACACGTGGCGGTCTATTCTATATCTCCAAAAAAGAAATTTAATAAATTTTCTAAATGCTAATACGACTCCAGAGAAACGCAATTTTCGAATCCTATTAATATTATAAATGTGAAAGTTTCTTTGTTTGGATGGTTAGATGTTTGGATGTTTGTACGTCAATCACGCCGAAACTACTGAACGGATTTTGATGAAATTTGGTATACAGATAGGGTGTTAGCTGACTTAGATAATAGGATACTTAGATAGATAATAGGATGATTTTTATCCCACTAAACATTTCCCTAGGGTCCACGCGGGCGAAGCCGCTGGCGAAAGCTAGTAATTTATAAATGGAACGGAGGTAAGACCTGACACAGTCTCTGGTGCACCGACAATCCTCATGAATATGGTTTTAACAAAATTATAAGAACGAAAAACAAATAGAATAGGGCCTCAGGTGTCATGTTAATTCGTACGAGTAGTAAGTAAAAACATGTTTTATTTATCACCATTATCAGCCCCACTGCAGGGGCTCAGGCCGCTGATCCTCCAAGCTGGCCCAATGCAGATTGGAGGTTGTTAATGACTGCAAATTCTTAACGTGCCTTCCGAAGCAGGGAGTAGCTCGAAATAATCATTTTTTGGTTACCCATCCCGTGACCGACCCTTGCGAAAGTTGCTTAACAACAACGATCGTGGGCGGCAGCGCTTATCCAATACGCCACCGAGCTTCTATCACATTAATTTGATATTGAATTGTTTTACAGTTAACAATGTATGTAATTCATTTTAGTAGGTAATTATATTTCATACCTACTAGTGTTCCGCCAGCGGCTTCGCCCGCGTGAATTTATATTATACATAAACCTTTCTCTTGAATAATTCTGTATATTGATGAAAACCGCTATAAAATCCCTTGTGTGGTTTAAAAAATCTCAGCGTATAGACAGCGGGAACGGACTTTTTTCACTATGTATAGATAAAAAAAGGCGATAAAACTTTATAAATTCATCAGATAATTATCAAATTACAAAACGTTTTAAATATAAACAAAAAAATTACAAATCCTTAGCATCGTTTAAAATTAACGCCGGGATAATTAATTAATCTGTTTCAATGAATAAATTTTAAGTGGATTATTTATTACCTATTGAAAGAATTCTTATGAAACATAAAAAAAATATTTTTAATGTTATTGATTGGCCAAATATTTGGTTTGGTATATCGCTAAATGGCAGAATTTCTTTTGACCGATCCGATAATGAGGTTATGTTAGAACGTGACCAAGGGCGCATCCAGAGGGACAGGGTCGTAGGCAGGGTTACCACATTTCGGAACTTGTCCTGAGATCTCGGGATTTTAAGTCTCATCTCAGAATTTTTGGACTCTTCTCAGGATTGCGGTTGCATTTACAAATCTCCGGATTTTTATAATTTTTAGATATCTTTGATAAAAAGTAATACAAACTAAAATAATCTGCCAAACATTGGTAGTAATTGCGCAATTAAAAATCAACGCTTGCGATGTGTAAGGAGTGAACGAGATCCCCGAAATCTGCAGTGTACAAAAACGACAATAATTTGACTTTTTTAAATTGTTAGGTATGTTTGAGAGAAAATTCTCAAACTGCGACAAAATATCAGGATTTTGACAATGGCCTTTTCTCCGGACTTTTGATTTTTTTATCTGGTAACCCTAGACGTGGGGCTCATCCCCCCAGCCAGTCCACCGTTGATATTTTTTTGTAATTTCAATGATTGATTTAATAAACTTCAAGGTTTAGGTGTATAGAAAAGTTAAAGATGTTGTTTATGGTTCTCTTTTACGCGGCTAAAAGTCTGAGTTATATTGTGTCAAGAAATTTTAATAGTAAAAATAAAGTTTTTTTTTTAATTTTTGCTTTTAAAATTCTTCTTGTATTATTCTGAAGATATAAAATGGAATTAAAAAGTTCTGCCATTAAAGACAGAGCCGGTAAGTAAGTATGAATTTAAATATGGAAACAGACGACACAATGTCATTGTGTACCTATATCCGAGAATAGAACGGGATTATCGACTGATTAATGTGTCTGCATTAAGTACAATTAATACCAATGTTTGTTCCATACATATAGTCTATATTTGAGATGGGTAGAAAGCTCGTTTGTACTCGATATTACTGGGAATACTGAAGCCCGATCTAAAGGTGCAGGTAAATTGCGTCTACCAAAAATCCAACTAAATAGAATAGAGAGAATGGGCCATGACCCGACACACCTGGGCCAAAGGCTTAG